TAATATTTCTGTTCTATTTGTAAAAAAACCACGAGACCACTTATACACACACACACACACACACACACACACACACACACATACACATACACATACACATATAAAGAGAACCGAAAGAAATATCTACATATTTTATTCTCAAAGAGTAACTTCTGGTTGTTCATATTCACTGACAACTGGTAATTTTTTTGTAATTTGATCATTTTCTGTACAAACTCTTTTTGTCGTTTCTTGCTGATAGTGATATTCTTCATAAGATCGTTTTTCTGCTGTCTGTTGTTGTGGAATGATAATTGAGCTTGAACATGATGTTGGCAGTGGTGAACGACGTTTAATATCGGTTGATAATAATGAACTTGAACAAGTTGCTATAAGTTGTTGATGTTCACAACTAGCAAATACTTGTTGTTCTTGTTCATCAAGAAATTTTTCAAATATTTCACTACATCTAGAACAATAAAATTATCTATGTTTCTTAGGTTTTCTATGTATCATATAACCATACGTAATATGAAATCGACGTTGTTTTTCAACTTGATTTGACTGAATAAATTCATTGTGACGATCGGTCTTCTTCCATGTGTAATAGAAACAAACTAATTCATGAACGCTATGATTTGGAAGCTGTAGAAGAGATAGTGGTAATAAACATTGTTTAAGAAAAAACTTATAAACTTACTCTATATAAATGAATTTTATAAAAATCTTTTCCAAATTCTTTCAAACTTTGTTCAAATAAATCACATTCTTCTAATGGCCATGATATTAGTGGATCTAGAGCAAAAAAGATATATAATTTGATCTATATAGAAGAATAAATTAGTCAAAGGATAAAGGTAATACGTACAAATATTTTTTTTGGACGTATTCTTCAATTTTTCTAATGCTTGTTCAGTATTATAATTACAATTCATAAATATTTCTAATGATATTTCTTGATCAGCTGTTGGACCTTAAAACAATATTCCATTGGATATTAACTCAATAAAAATAAACAAGAGGAAAGTACTTCATACATTCTGCAGTGGAAAGTGAAAGGTATTGATCAAGCGATAGTTCATTGGCACATGGAGTCCATAATAACTGACCTAATGACAAAGAAAGACACATTTCAACGTCTATTAAAGACAAAACTATCTTCTATAAATACTTTGATCTTTCACTAGATCATTTTCATTCAATGCGACAGTATCTGGCACAACAGCCTGATATTCTTCTCCAATATTAATTAACTATAACAAAAAAAATTGATCAAATATTTGTCTAAATGAATGAATTTATTCACGTAAAAGTGAGAGAGATCACCAAAGATCCCCAACCTGTAACACGATGATCCCCGCCAAACAAATACAACAGATGAAAAACACGATGCTTACTGAGAAAAAAAAGAGAAAAGAAAAAGATGAACTATATAAAAACGAATAAATATAAAATCTTTATTATGTCTTGTAGGACACATTCATTAATCAGGTGAATTTTATTTGTAAGTTTTCCAACGTGGTATTATTGAACTAAGTTATAGTCATCTATAGATGGAAAATTTACTTTATTTCATATGATTATTACGATTTTCTAAAAACTATTTCTTACCTTTTCTGATTCAATGGTATAGGATGGATCATTTTGTTCTTCGTCGGATTCCTCAGTACATTCGTCTAAAATTACAAAGATGAAAAAGATTGATTGTTACTAATTTTTTTATATACTAACCTTTTGAATTGTTTAATAATTGTTCATATTCTATATTATGTGGAGATGATTCAGATGTGCTACATGATGACGATAGAGAGGACTAAAAGAAAAGAACAATGTTACACATTGTACGGAAAAATAGAATGATCTTACTTCATCATCAAAACTATCATTGTCCTGATGTTGGATTTTTTCATTTGTATTTTCTGGTAAACAGCTGTATAATTTCAATAGTTCATGAATTGGGATTTCTCCCTCCTAAAATATAAAAATCCGCTGTATATCATTCAAATTTTTATAAATTTTCGGTATTTTTACTAACCGCCTGTAGTTCGGCTAATTCAATTTGAATTTCTTCTGCTGACATTTGTTGTTTCTGTTCTTCCTCATCTATTGTACGTTCATCATCATAACCATTTTTGTCAGTTGATGACACTCTGTATTCTTCGTCTTCAAATAGAAAAAAAACAAAATCAAATATAAGTTCAGTTGAATTACTTTCTTCAACAACCCACCAGAGTGTGTACTCGTCAACGTATCTGAAGCAACCGTAGCCATTTGCTTAACCAACTACTTTCATCTAAAACAGTGCTAAAAATTGTAGTATATATTGCAGATGTTAGTAATTTTTTTAGAAATTTGTAAATTACTTATAATACCAACTGACCTATAAAAGCATGAAAAAATCTAATCTTCTTATTTCTGAAAACTTGGCTATTCTGTGTACGAATTAGAAAAGACAGTTAAACATTTATGATATTATTCAACACAATCAGATAAATTATTGTAGACAAAAGTAAAGTATGAATGAATGAATGAATGAATTTTTATTCACGAAAAGTGAGAGTCATCAAAGGTCACCGACCTATAAAACAATGACTCGAGCCAAACAACAACAAAAGAATCTATAAATAGAAAAAAAAGAATAAATAAATAAATAAATAAATAAAAGGTAAAAACTAGTGTAGTGTACGAAAACAGATAGTAAAGAAGAATAAAAAAGAAACAAAATAAAATAAAATAAAGTAAATAAAATAAGAGT